AAATAAATAAATAAATAAATAAATAAATAATTGCAACAGGGAGAGGAGCTGGAGAAGGCAGATTCAGAGTTAGACACTATTAGCATGGACTTCTCTAAATTATTTCCCTTAAGATGGACTATAAGTGCCTAACATGGAACATTAATGGGACTAACTCCCCTCATAAATGCAAAAAGGTATCCCATTATTTGAAAAAACTGAAACAAGATTAATCTGTTTGCAAAAGACTCATGTAAGAAACAGAGATATAGAGTACTTCATATGTAAAAATTAGGAGAATAATTTATTTCAGCAGGACCAGAAAAAGACTAATGGAGGTGTTTTATATATTAACCCCCATTTAAAACCACAACTAATACTGACTGATCGACAAGGTAGTTTCGTGGGGGTGGAAACTGAATTACATGGACTTAAAACTCTATTACTGGGACTTTATGCTCCAAATGAAGATAAAGCAGGCTTTTATAAAAGACTCACAGAACAACTGACGAATTTTACATATGAGAATTGGATTTTGATGGGACATTGGAATGGTGTGGTTTCACCACAAATAGACAGAACATCTGCGAAGAAAATTAAAATTACTCAAGGTAGATTACTGAAGACCTTTTTTGACTTGATGGATAATTTAACTTTAGTGGATATCTGGAGACAAAAAGTGGTAATTCTAGAGAATACACCTATTTTTCTGAAAGACATAGATCATTTTCAAGAATAGATATGATATAGACTTTGAAAAACTTGGCTAACAAGACTACTAAAATTGAGATTTTACCAAAAGTTTTTTTCTGATCATAACCCAGTAACTTTAAGTCTTAAAAAGAAACCTACTACCTTCAGATGGAGATTAAATGAGATGTTACTACAAAAAGACTGGATAGTGAAAGACTGTAAGAAAAAATTAACAGAATTTTTTTGAGAATAATCTAAATAAAGCCACGGATTTAAAAACAGTTTGGGATACAAGTAAAACTTTTATTAGATGTTACTTTATTCAATACAATACTGAACTGAAAAAAAAGCACAAAGACACAAGCTATTTTACAGGAGATTAAGAGAAAATAAGATTAAAGACATTGCCAACAAAGACAAATATTTTACATCAAATTAAATTACATCAATAGCTGTCTATGTTGACAGTAAGAGAAATGGAAACCAAAATGAATTATGTAAAACAAAGGAATTTTGAATTTGCAAACAAACCAGGAAAGTGGTTAGCCTATAAGTTAAAGAAAGAGAAAGAAAAGAGGATGATATTGAAACTCCAAGAGGGAAATATGGTTTCAACAGATAATTTGGCTATACAAAAAGCTTTTCATCAGTATTATTCTAATTTGTATAAAAGACAATTATCTATTTTTTCCAGATAAATATCTTAGCTAAAATTGTTAAACTTACCACAACTTACAGATATACAAAGACAAATAACGAATGGACCTATAACAATAATGGAATTCTTGGAAGCTATAAAAAAGATCAAACTAAGAAAAGCATTGGGCCAGATGGATTACCAGAGTCTTATTATAAATGTTTTGAGGATAAAATTTTACAGCTACTTCAAAATACAATAAATTCTATTCTACAGTCTTGGAAAGAAGCTAATATTACTTTAATACCCAAAGAGGGACAGGACTTAAACTTAACCAAAATTACAGACCGATATCATTACTAAATAATGACTATAAGTTATTTATAACGATTTTGGCAAACAGACTAAAAATAATTTTACAAGACTTTGTTCATGAAGATCAATGTGGATTTTTGCCTAAGACACTATTAAAAGATAATGTTAGAACAGTATTGGACATTATGGAATATCTAGAACAGCACAATGAAAAACAAGCGACACTGATCTTTTGGATGCGGAGAAAGCTTCTGAAAGTCTTAATTGGACTTTCCTGTTTAAAGTTTTAGAAGATATGGACTTTGGTGAGAATTTTATAACATCAGTTAATTTTTTTTTTTAATCTCTCTCTCACAGAAAGCACAAATTATCATCAATGGATATTTAACGAAACCATATGAAATTTAAAAAGGTACAAGACAGGGATGTCCACTATTCTCACTCTTGTTTATCTTGGTCTTGGAAGTTTTAAATAGAGATACAGTGGAACCTCAAGTTACGAATTTAATCTGTTCCGTGACTCTGGTTGCAACTCGAATTGGTCGCAACACGAGGCAAATTTTCCCATAAGGTTCAATGTAATTACCATTAATCCGTTCCGGCGTCCGCAGACCACGCGTCAGGGGCAGAAAAATGGCCGCAGACCACATGGAATGGGTGGAAAATGGCCGCGGATCCGGTTCGTTAGTTGAGGCGAGGTCGTAAGTCGAGG